AAAGTGGACGTATGCTCTGCCTAAACAAAGTCAGTGGTAGCCAAATAGAGAAAGCGTTCATGTGTTTTAGAAGCCAAATGGGACATACTGATTATACTACTGATATGTATACAGTATACATATATATATATATATATATATATATATATATACACACACACACACACACACACACATTTATATACACAAACATTCAAAATACACAATACAGCCCACTCGCTTACTCACTAAACAATGATTTCAAATCTCACAGATTGTAATAGTTTTATTTAAAAAAAAAAAAAAACTCACCTAGGCAAAAAAATAATGGGGTTTAGTTAGATTATATGATCATATATTGCATAAGCCTGCCACAACGTCAATGTACCCCATTCTTGGCAGGTGCCTCCACCAATCGATGCTTCCTAGTGCTCACCGAGTACTCCAAGCACTCCACCAGACACCATCAGCACTGTAGTTCCCACTTCCAGCATTACAGCTTGGCACGGGGTCTTGCTGTCCTACACCCACCCTGGACCCAAGACCAGGATCCAGCTTCCAGTGGGTAGACCTCTCCTCCAAGAGAGTGTAGCAATATGCTCTTAAAAGAGTGCTCTTAAAAGTGATTATAATCCCAGGGGAGTATAGTGATATAGCAATCCCCAGAGTGATACAGCCGTTCCCTCCACACATGAGATGAGACTATGTTGAGGGTAAGCAGGAACTGGTTTATTGGTAGCCACAATTGGCCTTAAATGCAAGGGGTTTACATTAACATATTCCAGGGGTATTCCCCACTGGACCTGAGAATAGACTATAACAAAGTACATACTGTATTTACATTGGCTCTCAGGTCCAGAATACTCCCACACAAAACAGGATAATCCCTCCTCTGTGCCCAAGAGATAATTGAGTCAAGCACTGTATTAAACTCAATTATCTCCAGGCACAGAAAACATACATTTTTACAAAAAACCCCAAACACCGTTAAACACACAAACCCCCTACAAAAGGTACATTCCCTGATATCCCTGATGTGGGTGACCAACATATCCAAAAATCACCCAGATCGGTTCAGGAATTTCCTGGAAGTCATAATTTGACCGACTTCACGTATGGTCCATGCCCAAAACAGTAACAGGGATCAGGGCTTACAGTCGGTCTCTCTTTCTGGAGTACAAACGTATATAAATCCCATGGACAAAGCCTTTTAAAGTGCACTGGGCAAGGTATATTGCAGGGCCTATAGTCCTGAGGCAGGAGGCTGGCAGGCAATTCTCCCCCCCCCCAAGCGAAGACTAACCAGGTAAGTGAGTTAGTCGGGCAGCCCACCCAACCACAAGTAGCTGACCTGGTGACCTCCGGAGCCCGACTCTGTCCAATATGTCCAAGGCTGCTGAGTGGGCATCCGTCACCCCAGGTCTCTCTTGTACTCTCAGGCATGGAGTTGTGGGTACTTGGTGGGCAGAGGCCAGCGGCGCTCTGCCCCGTAGCCAGCATTGCAGCTGAGTAGGTCAGGTCCCAGAACAAATGGACCGGTAGGGCAGAGGCCAGTGCTGCTCTGTAGGCATCGCTTCTGCTGTGGGAGCCTGCTGGGCTTCAGGCTCTTCAATCTGGGGACAGGTAGGGCAGAGTAAATATAAGGTTTGTGTTTCATTTTTTTCACATTGAAATTCACCAGATTGGTTACATTGCCCTTGAGACCGTATGGTAGTCCAGGAATAAAAATCACCCCCGTGATGGCATACCATTTGCAATAGTAGACAACCTAAGGTATTGCAAATGGGGTATGTCCAGTCTTTTTTAGTAGCCACTTAGTCACAAACACTGGCAAAAACTGGCGTTCAAATTAGTTTTCTGCATTTTTCACACACAATTATTAACACTAACTTTGGCCAGTGTTTGACAAGGCTGATAATCTCAGGTATGGAGGCGGGCCAGTCAAGGCGAGAACGGCACAGCTTTGGGAAAAAAGGCAAGTGGGGAGGGGGGACGAGAGCAGGGTTGGGGACCTAAACATACACATTCACTGACACACCCGTTCTCTCACACACTCACAAAAACTTTTTTATTTTGATAGACTTAAATAGATACATACACACATACACAAAGCATATACAGAACTCAACACATGACAGATGAACACACTATTATAGATGCACACACAAAAATAAATATTTTAGGCCACCCTCCTGTTTCCTACCTTTTGAGCTTAGGAGGGTGGCTAGGAGTTAGTCACATGCCTGCATGTGACTTACACAACCTTCCTAAACACTTCCTGTAACAAAGATCTTTAGTTTTGGCACAGTCTGTTTAATATAGACTTTCTTATCTCCTGTTCTGCTAGTAGCCTGCAGGAGCCTCCTGTGTTTGATTTACAGAGCAGGAGATGAAAACTACTAAAACAAGTTAAAGGGTTACTCCACCCATCATGACCACTTCTGCTTTTTGAAGTATGCACAGAGATGTTTTTTTAATTGTGTGCTGGGGGCAAGTTGTTCCACCCGACAAGCGCGACTTGTCAATTCTGTGCATAAATTACGTCTGTCATCAGTACACAGTGCACATTGGCAACATACATAACTGCTTCTCTATAGAGCTCTTCTTTCCCCCCCACCCCCAAATCCCCTTCGTTATTTAGTTAATTTTATTTAATTAACTGCCCTCCGTCCTACTCCTTTTCCTCCCTCTGTCCCACACCCCCATGCCCTTGCCGGCTCAGTGTGCGTGCATGAGCTCCGAGCTAGTAAAATTGTCCATTTTCTATGGGAAGTCTTTGATTGGACCTCAGCGCGGCTCCCATGATGTCAGACAGAGGTGTGCCGATCAGCGCCAGGAAGCCTTTTCATATAGAAAGGCATTTACAGTAGCACCAACAGGGCATCATTCTTTTAACTATAATAAAGGGATGGAGAAACCATTTAACTTCGGATTGAAAATTAAAACTTTTTTTATGTTTGCTGTGTCAGTCACAGCCACAGGAGGCATGACTAGGGCGATATAAACAAAGTGATTTACAGAGAATTGAGCAGTAAGACTACAGGGGCATGATCTATACACCAAAACCGCTTCATTAAACTACAGTTGTTTTCATGCCTATAGTGTCCCTTTAAAATCAAAATAGCCAAATTGGTAAAATTCTCAGCCATGCTTTAACTTTAGTAACGGTTATTTAAAATCGTTATGTCTCAGGCAGCTTAAACACAATCCATCAAAGAAACAGAGAAGAAACCCAACATAGTGTAATTCCAGGAGACATCCTTTCAAATAACACAAAGTAAGTAATCTGTCAGTGGGGTGCTACTCAGCATGCAGAATGCATCATATGTCAAACACTAGTGGGCTTTTTTGCTCACCTGAATTAGAGAATTTACATAAATAAATTGGTGACAAAATGGCCCAATGATAGGGCTCAAACTACACATCATGAGTTACCCCGGATGCCTACTTTGACACTAAACTGCATTCATGGAGTAATGAGCTGTTAAAATGCCCCATAACGGGCCGTGGTTTGGAGGTCGACTGTGATGGTTGCATAGTCCACAAGCTCCGGAGGAAAGGGCTTCTAAATCGCACAGAAAACCGCTAGAATCACTGAAATCTTCTCCCTTATTATCAGGTAAGATTCCCAGAAGCATAAAGGCTAGTAGGAAGAAACAAACCCGTCGGTAGGTGTAGGTATCATCTCTTTTTGCACAGCTGGGACGGGGCTCCAAGCGTACTCAAGATGGCAGCAGGACAAGCCCCCAGGCGGAAGACCCAGACGAGGTGGCCTCAGACATTTCGATGGCCTGTTCGGAGGATACTGCACGTATTCTGCTCCAAATGCAGACCGTCAAGGCCTATTTGCCCAATGAGATTGCGAAGGGCACCCAAGCACTGAAAACCGAAATACAGGCTGTAACGGCTACCCTGGTGTAGAGAGGGTACCAGCCGTTAGGGACGTCCTTTTCTTCCCGGCAGTCGCCGTGTAGTGATGGAGTCGCCTATTCCCTTCTGCTGGATCAGGAGTGGAAGCCAGGTGCCGCTCTGAAAAGAGCTAAGTGATTAAGCTGCAGAGATTCCCCTTTCAAGAACGAGACGAGGCTACGTTTTGAAGGGTCAAGAAGAACTGAGGGTTTATTGACAGACACTCTGCTTTTATGTGATTCTACCCATGCAAGGGAGACACCCACATAATTAGCAGTACAACCAATCCATACAATATACATTCAGTAAATTCCCTCCCCTCAGATAACTACATAAAATAATTAAAAAGGAACAGTTTTTCCCCAAAGTATGGATGTAACCCAAATACTTTCAGGTATTTCAGGTACCAACATATGTAAAAATCAGCTCAATCGGTTCAGCCGTTCGGGACATATAGGACTTAGAAGTTTTGACCGACCGCACGGGCACAGTAGCCGAAAACAGTTCCATGAATGCTGGCCCTGCAGTCGGTCTAAGAACGTGGGTAAATACTCCCGAACGGCCGGCCATCCGTATGCCATCCGTATACCATCCTGGGTTCGTTGAAATCCCCATCTGCTGCTAATTCTTTCTACCGAACGCTGGGCAGTTTTCCCGAAGGTATGGAGGTCTCAGCGGTGTTCGCCTGTTTGAGTGTCCGATTTTAGTTCCAGACATTCATCGGCAAACACCACTGTTCGGGAGTTAAAATGGCCGCGAACACGTGTAAGTCTCGAAATGGCGGCTGAGCTTACAGTTCCCATAGCGTTCGTGCGGTTGATTCGAATAAAGTGCCCATCAACCAGGGAGGTAAATTGGCCATAATTAGCAGTCAGGGTGGCCTGTTAAGGCAGGTAAGCATTCGCATGGTGAATGCTGACAAACAACATACCGAACGGCCGTATAATCCATTTGTCTTTTGCAGTCATACTGTGCTTGTTGTTACATGGCTCCCCTTTTGTGGGACACCCCGGCAGACCCGGATTGATCCTTTTCGGACCACCGTGGGGCTGTCCGGATTTCGGTTAGGGCATCAGTTCGGTTTGTATGGACAGGCCATCCGCGTTCCCGTTGAGTTTACCTGGCCGATATTGTATAGAGAAATTATAAGGTTGTAACGCCAGGTCCATCTTAATAAACGGCCATTATCTCCGGCCACGCGGTTCAACCACACGAGAGGGTTATGGTCAGTGATGAGGGTGAACTCCTGACTATACAAATATGGAGTCAATTTCTTTAGGGCCCAGACCAGGGCTAAACATTCTTTTTCCACTGCCGCGTAGCTCACTTCCCTGGGTAGCAATTTTCTGCTTAGGTACGCGACAGGGTGTTCTCCTCCATCTTCTCCCATCTGGCTTAAAACTGCCACCAGTCCGTACATGGAGGCATCTGTGTGGACGACAAACCTTTTGTTAGGGACTGGAGCAGATAGCACAGGAGCGTTGATTAATGCGTTCTTTAATGTCTGAAATGCTGTTTCGGAGGCGGGAGACCACAGGACTATCCTAGGTAGAGTCTTTTTGGTCAAGTCTGTTAAATGTTTGGCGATGCTACTGTTGTAGAATTATTAGGCCTCTATAAATCTGTAAGGCCCCTTTAAATCCTCTTGCTATACCTCTAAGAGGCCCCCATAGTTTTACAAGAAAGCTTTGTCTATAGAACATAGAATTTGCATGTCAGCAAGAAATAGCTTTGATAAAATGTGTATTTACTAAAAGCCTTGAAACCTAGCCTTGAGAAACTAACAAGTGCCAGTTACGCTCTAAATGGATAGCTGCCAAAAGGCCCCTCCCATCGAGTGAACACCTCGTGCTAACAAGATGGTGCCTACATCTTGTGTCCACTCCCGTGTCAAGGATGACATCACCTCTTGATAGGAGGGTACCTAACTAACCACTTAACACCTGGACCAATCAATAGTGTCTATTTGCTGTTATCTTGAATTCTTCAGTGATGTAATAATGCCTTTAAAAGGGTCTGCGCACCCATTTTCTGTCAGAAGCCATTAAACTTCTCCGGAGTTCTTTCATTAACCTGAACTTTGTGTCTCAGTGTGAATTTACTTCTGCGTGCACGCAACTTTATTATCTTTAATTTGGACAGGAACAGATAGTCATTCAAACTAATTGGTTTGCAGTAAATTATATACGACACTACTATAGTCGGGGACAAATTTCCTGTAGTACCCTGCCGTCCCTAGAAAAGCGACTACCTGGGTCTTGGTGTGGGCCAATTAGCTACGGCCTCAACTTTGGCTGGTTCCGGCCGTTGTTTCCCACATCCCACCCGGTGTCCCAGGTACTGTACTTCGCCCATGCCAAAATTAAATTTTTCTGGCTTCAGAGTGAGGTCTGCGGCCCTAATCTGATCCAGTACGGCGCCCACCTGTCGGAGGTGTTCTCCCCAGGTCTCGCTGTAGATCGCAATGTCATCCAGGTACGCACATGCGAAATCCTGGAAGCCATCAAGGAGCCTGTCGACCAAGCGCTGAAAGGTAGCGGGGGCGTTCTTCATCCCGAATGGCATGACTTTGAATTGGTACAAGCCAAACGGGGTGACGAAGGCCGACCTGGGGACAGCCTCCTTGGCTAGGGGGATCTGCCAGTACCCCTTGCACAGATCAATGGTAGTCAGGTATCTCCCCCTAGCAATGCGATCTAGGAGTTCGTCTACTCGGGGCATGGGATACGCATCGGTCACTGTCCTATCATTAAGACGTCTATAGTCGAGGCAGAACCTGGTGGTCCCATCCTTTTTGGGTACCAATACTACAGGGGAGGCCCACGGGCTGTCTGAGGGTTCTATGACTCCTAACTTGAGCATCTCTTGGATCTCTTTCCTCATCTCTTCTTTAACTGCCTCCGGGATGCGGTAAGGGGTCTGCCTAAGTGGCGTCTGCCCTGGGGTTTCCACATAATGGGTAGCTAACGTCGTGTATCCTGGCTCTTGGGAGAATGTCAGTCTCTTCTCTGTCAACAGCTGTCTGAACTGTCCCTTTTCTGCCGGGTTCAACCGCTCCCCTACATGGATAGCATCGAGGATATTCTTTGGTTCGGAACCCGCTAACAAGTCAGGGATAGGTAGCCCGTCTGAGTCCTCTGTACTTGGACTGCAGATGGCTGCAATATCCTCGGCCCTTTCCTGATATTCCTTGAGCAGATTCACATGGAAGGATTTCCGAACCCGGTCATCCTTGCTACTGGCTATTACGTAAGTGGTATCACATACTTGGGCTACCACCTTGTAAGGGCCCTACCATGAGGTCTGGAGCTTGTTCCCTTTTACTGGTCTGAGAACTAGCACTTTCTGTCCCACCTGGAAGGTTCTCTGGCGGGCACCCCTATCATACCACCTCTTCTGTCGACCCTGAGCCGCCTGGAGATGGTCTCTAGCCATCCGAGCTAACTGCTCCATGCGGTCTCTCATCTCCAGAACGTATGGTACAATCGGGACACCCTCATGTTCCATCTCTCCTTCCCAGTGCTCTCGGATGAGGTCGAGGGGGCCTCGCACTCGTCGTCCATAGAGCAGCTTGAACGGAGAGAACCCAGTGGATTCCTGTGGCACCTCTCGGTAGGCAAACAAGAGGTGCGGCAGGAATCGCTCCCAGTCTCTGTATTCCGCTGTAAAGGTCCGCAGTAATTGTTTCAGGGTACCATTAAAGCGTCCACAGAGTCCGTTAGTCTGGGGGTGGTATGGTGAGCTGAATAGGGTCTTGATACCACAGACCTTCCATAACTGTTGGGTCAGATCTGCGGTAAATTGCGTCCCTCGGTCAGACAAAATCTCTTGTGGAAACCCCACACGGGTGAATATCCCGACCAAGGCACTTACCGGAGGGACTGGGATTCGGTAAGGTACCCACCAGATCGACTGCCACCCTGCTAAATGGTTCCTCGATTACTGGCATGGGTAACAGTCTTGCTTTCGGGTGGTCCCCTCGCTTCCCTACTCGTTGACACACGTCACAAGTACTGCAGTAACGTCACACATCCTTCGAGATTCCCGGCCAAAAGAAGGTCTGGGTAATCCTGTAGGTAGTGCGGTTACCTCCTAAATGTCCTGCCAAGGGAATATCATGTCCAATTCGCAGAAGTTCCAACCGGTATTTTCTGGGTACCACCAGTTGGCGCTTCTGTGATGGGATACCGCCTGTCTTTTTCCCTTCTGTCAATCTATACAGTCGGTCATTATCCCAGATAAAGCGTTCCTTCTCACTCCCCCCACTATCGGCAAGCTCCCTGTATTTTTGGAGGGTAGGATCTGCCCGTGTCTCCCTCCCAAATGCCTCGGGGGTATCCCAAGCTAAGTGTCTGTCTATGGGGTCTGGCCTAGGGGCTGGTTCGTGGCTTACCTGGGTCTCCCGTCCTGGTGCAGGGTCGTCGGCAGCATAAGCCTGGGAACGTGTGGTCACTGGGCAAGCGGCAGCAGTCGTAGCTGATGCAAGAGGGCCAATGTCATTGCCCAGTACGACTTCTGCGGGTAAATTGTCCATGATGCCCACAGTGGTCTTCCCAGACCCGACTCCCCAATCCAGGTGTACCCTAGCAGTGGCTAAACGGAAAACAGCTCCTCCAGCAACTCGTACAGCCACAATTCGGTTGGACAAATGTACAGGTTTTATCAGATGTCTCTGCATTAAGGTAATGGTGGCCCCAGTGTCTCTCAATCCTTGCGCCACCTGCCCGTTCACCCGCACTTCTTGTCGATGGTGTTGTCGATTATCTGGTGAGGCGGCTTGTATCGGGTCCGCCTCATACAAGATACCCAGGCATTCCTTGGGGCCCACCTCCAGGCAATGGGCGGCCGAGGTACGTGGGGACGAAATAGGAGGGCGGGGTGATGCGGTCTCTGTGGGTGGTGAGGGTCGTCGCCAGTTGTTGGCTGCGGACCCCAGGAGGCAGTGGCGGGCAATGTGTCCCAGGTTGTTGCAGCGATGGAACGCCATCCGAGATACATCTCTTGGGTAGCTGGGGGACCCCTGTGGGCGATACGGGAGCACGGAACTCCGGATGAAAATTACTGGTTGGGGTACATGGTTCTGGCCTGCTGGTTGTGCGGTGAGAGCTTTGACTAACTCTCCTTGTTTCGGCATACTCGTCTGCTAGCCAAGCCGCCTCCTTCAGGTTGCTGGGTCGTCGATCCCTTACCCAGTCCTGTAGATCAGCTGCTAAATCCTGGAAGAAGTGTTCCATTAGAAATAGTTGTAAGACTTCCTCCCCTGTACTGGCATTACATCCTTTGACCCAGTGGGAGGCTAGTCGCTGTAGACGGTTGGCCCATTCCATGTGAGAGTCCACAGCTTTCTTTTTAGACTCATGGAACCGTCGGCGGTATGCCTCACAGCATAACGGGCTAACAGGGCCTTTTTGACCTGCTGGTACTGTAAAATATCCTCTGCGGTGAGGGTCCGAAAGGCCTCGTTAGCCTTGCCTGACAGCTTCCCAGCTAAAATGGTAACCCATTGGTCAGGGGGTACCTGGTGTAAAGAGCACTGTCTCTCGAAATCGGCTAAATATCCATCGATCTCCTCTTCATTCTCTACAAACGCCTTGAATGCAGTAAATGGCACCTTCCTTGGGGTAGTAGGCGGAGGGGAAGCAGGAACTGTATGTGTAATGGGCTGCTGGGCTCTTACCAGTTCGATTTCGTGCCCCCTCCTCTCCCGGATATCTGCTTTGGCATCAAGGAACAGCCGCTCAATCAGCTCCACTGATGTCTCTGGATAGAAGGCCAGTCTCCTCTGTACGATGCGGGCGACCTCGTCCTCCTCGCTGTCTTGCCTCTGTGTCTCTGTTACGTCCATGGACCGATCCATCTCGTCCAGCTCTAGTAGGTCTGCGATCAGCTCCCTCCGTGGTCTGTTACTGGCACTCCTTCCCCGGTTCTCTAGTAAATCCTTTAGGGTAGGCCTCTTCAATTTGGCGTATTGAGACTCCACCCAGCATCTGCGCTGTGGATGAAAGGACCATCCCACCGCTGCCACCAATGT